GAGCTTCGCAGAAGTCAACTCCCTCATACTGAACATTTTGTCCTCACAACTGATGCATGAGAACACATGGCAGCTTGATTTTGGATCATTTCTGAGTATTGCTGATAGTTGATAATAAGTATTACTCTTAAACCGACTGTCTTTTGGAGCGGATTATTTTGATATTAGGAATGGATCGTTCATGTCGCGACGGCACCACCATCGCGCATTTTCAGGTAGTCCTGCCGGAACGAATTCTTATCCGTCTCATCTCCTCGATTCAATGGAGTCCATTTAGGATCATCTTTGAAGAGCCGCATTGCCTTGGTATACTACGGACAGAAAAACATAGTTCTCAGCAACAGTCAAACCAGAACTCGTTGAATGATGACTTCGTCATCTCGAAGGGCCAATTGGAACTTACGTTCTTCGTGTCCGTTGTGAAACGATGATAAATGCCGGCCGGCATAATCATCAAATCATGCTTCTCGAGCTGGATGCGCACCCAGTCATCGTCCTTGGAGCGCACGTCGAAGAATCCGCCGCCATCAAGGATGTATCGGATCTCCTCGTCCTCGTGCAGATGCTCGTGGAAAAACATCTTGACCTTGTCTTCGTAGACGTCGCCCATAGTCGCCGGGGAGATGGTGATTTCATCCCGGTTCTTGTAGCCGCGCTGTGCCGCCAGCTCATTCACCGAGTCCACGGACGGGTAGTTAAAATGCGTGATGCCCAACGACGCGAGGTACTCCGGGGCTACCTCGCGCCCAGAGTCGTGAGGCTCGCGTTGGTCGCCCTACGGTCATAGAGGCAGCGGAATTAGCCCCGTGTGTAAGTGCGCGCGGAGTGTATGGAGCGGCTATTCGAGGGTAGGGTTTTCGATGCTACGCTTACAGGAAGGTTGTCGAACCAGTACGCCTTCATGATTGCGTCCGGGGCAGCTTCAATGTGCCAGGAAATAAGCCTCAACGATCAGAATCGATACCTTTAGCTCAAAGAATGAACTGTTCCGTCGATCCTGGGGCCAAGGAGGCAAGCCGCGACAAAGCTAGAGGTTATTAAAGCCTTCACCTCGTGCAGGATGTCAGCGTGGGCGCCGTAAATTCCTCCAAAACTTTTTTGGTGGGGCTCGGAATTTCCATCGCCCCTCCGGGAGGCAAACAACGATACGACGCTGCCCCGAAGAAACCATCCCGAACGCAGCATAAACCAAGCAACAAGGCGTCTGTGCCAGCGCATTTTTTACGCCTGAGTTTCACTTTATGGGACAATCATCCTGTCTATCCAGGGGAATGATGCACGTAGTCCGCAGATTATCCCTGTTCAGGCAAGGCCAAGGCTTCCAGCGAGAAAGCTTTCGTTGCAGGAGATAATCCACGCGCCGTCCTATTTCCACCAATCGTGATTACTTCAAGGCCGAAAATGTCTCGGGATTATCACCGAGAAATACTGGTTGGAAGTTATTTGAAAGGAAGGGCTAGCGAAGGGTCACTCGAAATACGGACTTATAACAACGATACGACTTATGGCATTACGACGAGACGTTCGGCATGGCAATACTCCCATACTGCAGGATTGGACGGCAGGTAAAAGGGCAGCCGCCCACATCTGCCCCGTTAGAGTAGCTTCAACCAAGGTGCTGACCGAACGCAATTCAGCCCTATGCCGAATCTATGTAACGCGCAGTTAGCTTAGCTGCGTCGACAAGTCCACTTGGCCACGCAGGCGTATACCCCCGCTTACTATGTACGTACATTCCCATTGGCTTTGCAACGGACCAGAAATAACCCAAAATTCACCAAAGCTTTGCGGAGAACTGTAGCTGCAGCCAAGAAGTCTCGAACGCGTCCGCCCGTCTTCACCTAAGTACGTAGGGCGTCGCCGAACAACGTTTCGCTGCTAGCGTGCCACAGCGTACAGGGACAGCCATTGCCCATCAATCAATCAGCCTGCCGCACAAGCCCCGTTGGTGGCCCCGAATGTCCAAACGCGCGCAGCTGCGTTCTGTCAGGCTGCTGCAGCGCGGCCCCCCAGGTTATGCAAGGCGTCGTAGGACCGTAGCTTTTTGCCCCCTCGCCGCAAGGCCTCACGCCCCGTTTCGTCCACCGACAGCTCGGCCGACTGACTGGATCGTCGACTACTTCGGCCGCTCAAGGAAGATGAATTCCAATCCAGCTAGTGAAGACTATAGTGGCGCACGTCATCAAGACTTTCTGGGCTGAGTATCGGAGTAAGCTGAGCGTATAACCGGTTGCTACGCCGTTGCCACGCCCATGTTAGCCAAGCGTCCTAGACAGCCCGGCTTCTAAGTCTATTCTGTGGCTCTACGCCGCTCGCAGGGCGGTTGCGCCTGGCGACGACTACAGCCCGCGTGCACCATGGGTCGTCAAGTGCAGTATGCGGTTGGTTGTACGTACCGGTATCGCCTATATTATTCTAGATTTTTTGAGTGCTTGGCGGGGTCCAGGTTGTGGACACACCAATGTCTATATAAGATTGTTTCTATCTCCCTGCGAAACGTCTCCGAACATCATAAGACTCAAGGCTCATTCAAACCCTTTTAAAATCTCTTCAAGCCATTCCTTCTCCTCTCCTCTAAGCGAAGACTTAAAGACTCTTGAAGTACTGAGGGATTCTTTTCTTCCGCTACGAAACTCAAGATCCAACAATTCACGTGGCTTCTTCGACTTTCATAATGACTTCTTTTCGTTCATCCACCAGCAGCAACACTTCGCTCGTTGAGCGCCAGTCCAGCGAGGTCTACCTCCGGTCCGGTATTGGCGGCGCTGGCAACTACCGCCGCAAGTCTTCCATCACTCTCGCCGCTCCAGCCGTGCCTATTATCGGCCCTCAGTCTCGTGCCGGCTCCTTCTCGAGCGGTATCGGTGGCGCCGGAAACTTTCACAAGGCAGACGAGCGTGCTGTCCTTTCCTTCGACGAGGAACTGGCTCGTAGCCGGGCTATTGGGCGCAACGCCCCTACCGCGTACCACGTCGGCATTGGCGGCGCGGGCAACCGCAAGCACCGGGGTGTTTCGCCGTCTATCACCGTCACGGCCTCGGCGGACAACATCGGGCAGCAGCAGACGTACAGCTCGGAACCGCTGCCCTTTGGCGCTGTTGACTCTTTCTTCCGACGTCTAAGCGGCGCTTCCCGGAGTACTTCTCGCGACGCATCGCCAGCCCCGAGCGACACCAAGCGCAACGGTAGCATTCGCTCCTCCTTGCGCGTGTAGACTGGGTTTGGAATTTGGTTGGTGGATTTCAGACTGGAACGGCGACAGTAGCCGCAGACCTAACAACAACATCAGCCGGAACGGCACGTCACCAGTCACAAGGCTCACCATTGGCATGGTGCTTGCAAAGACTTGGAAGCCCATTGTTCAGATTGATGAGCCGCTTGTATCACACTGTGGAGGACTTTTTCCTGTGTAACGGTGGGGTTGCGGATGTGGGCATTTTCTTGGCTACGGCGTTCTGTTTCTTCGGATATTTTCTTCTAATCCCTTTTCGTACATGACGGTACGATTTTGTACGCCGCCGGCAAGCTATCATATATACCATGTTTCTTTCTGTCTTTCTTAGTTCGTTCCATTTGATTTGGTCTTGGCTTACGTTCTGGGAATGTTCTGGGTCCGGGATACATCTACATAGCCGTATAATAGCATAATAATCCGGTTTAACTCGTCCGTATCAGTAGCTTCTTCCACTAGCCTCAGTGTTCAAATATAGTCTTGCATTCGATGCCTTCCATCCGCTTCTTTACCCTTGAAGCTGACCGGTCACAAAATATCCATCCGATACTCTACTTGCGCTTCATGTCTCACCACGAGACCCGACCACTTCTCTCGTCGGTTGCGCATGTTTACAAGAGTTGTGATACACGCGGATACTCTCAGTCAATTCATGCGCCCGCGCATCTGTGTAACGACGCATATGTACGATGCAATGTACCATTCGTAACTAACCTACATCTGGATAGCATTTGCAGGGGGTAATTATGCAGGGAGCTTCTTGCCTTCTTGAGCGGACCAGTCGAGGTCCTATCTAGTATTAACTCTTCTCTAATTTTAAAGCTTGTACAATTCAAAACTGATGTTGATTTCTAGCTCTTGAAAATGTGAGACGTCTATAAAGTCAGTCTTTTTGCCAAAGACGAACTTCTAGAACTTCCCTAAACGCCTCTATGTTCCGATATTTGACTAGGCAAAAGCACTGTTTGTTCTAACTCCTGATTCATCAATTGTAGAGAGAACCATGTTCGATAGAGAACATTTGAAAGCCCCGGATAACATGTCAATGTACCCTTGCTCTATTGTAATTGGTATCGTCAACGTAGAGATCTCTATACTTAACACAGTGACATATTTTGATTACCCCTGAATGGACGGGTATTAAGTCCCCGACGGGAATATAGTACGAGGACGTAAACCTGAACTAGCTTGACCTAGGCTACGTTAGGTTCAACTGGATAAGATCTTGCGTGGGAGGCCCGACGTGTTTCCGGTCAGCTAGTCAGAAACTGAATAGAAGCTTGAAATGATAAGACGGATAATATGATTGACGTAAATCCATAACATATCGTTATGCAAACGCTCTCTAGACTCGGCGTTACATCTCTAGAAGAGCTAATCATACAATGACTTATAACGTTTATTATTCTAAATACTTGGTAGATAAATCTAGCCTTGGTTTCCTCGTGATGTTACTCTATTTCGACATTTGAGTAACTGGAGGACACCCCTGATTAAACCTTGGAGTGTCATGCTTGATAAGTATAATCCCTAACACATTTATTGCCCGTAATTAGGTTCTATAGTGCAATACAGGTTTCTCCTACTACATATACTTTTGTCGGGCTTTATGACTAGCGAATACTGTTCTAGTGTAAATTCTGAACAAAAGTAATATTTTAGTCTGTACGCGTTACTTATAAATATTCATAAAAATGTTTCACTTTACAAGCAAAAATAAACACAGGTGAGCATTAATACAAAATGGAGGGAAAAAAAATTTCTTTTATGCACCGAGCGGGACTCGAACCCGCGCCTGAAGCAGATCTCGAATGGGAAGCTTCAATTCCTAGAAGAAATTAGTCCACATGCTTACATGCAGCCATTCGAATATAACACTTACTACCCCTAAACTATCGGTGCAAGTGCAGCGAAATTTTACACTAAAATAAATGTATATGCCATATATACAAAGAAAATTTTTAGCAGACTTTTTATATGATTACTTCCTTTTTAGACTTCTCGCGGCGTTCTTTTCTTTCGTGTACTTTGTGAATGGTAGGGTGGATTTAACCCCGCCACGCCGATATCGGGCTCTGTTTGGTCCCCACGGCAAGTTGGCTGCCACAGCGGGAATGCGCTGTATAAGCGCGTCGAACGAGAGTTTTGGATAATTGAAAACATGCATTAGAGACCTTTTATTTTGAGCGCTACGTAACTAATACGAGGACGGATAGCTTGCGAACTAAAGTGGTTCTACAATTTCCTCCTATTACTTTTAAGTAATGTACAGGGGGATATACAGCAAACGTGCTATTAGCATAGCCACTATTTCGAAGCAAGTTGTCTGGCTACGGCCGTGATATAAAGGGTGGGGATGAACTTCCGATCTACTAATGGTTTCGTATTGAATAGCGTGGCTACTCTATGCCTTGACAAGCTTCCTCGGCCTATCCTTCTAAATGGAAAGCTGAGTTTAGCTTTTTCACACTGAATCTTTGTCATGAGATAGGAGTCCGTCTTAGGGACAAAAAGACTTGATTGATAGTGCTAGAATCTATATATCGATTAAGCAGCAACTATCCATCGCACCGAAACCTGCCGCGACACCTCCTTCTTCGCTCTTGTCCCCTTTCGTCCTAAGTAGATACCCCGCTTGGAAGTTTTCCAGAACCTCGCCCTTATCAGTCTGTCCATCCCCATTCCTCCAAAGGCACACGCCGTAGACTCCAAGCTCACCAATCACACCGCCCTGTTGTATTTCCCCGTTCCTCAAGATGGCATTTTTAAGAGCCGGTGGCTCGATCATTTCCATCAAAATGTAGGCCGGCCAGTGAGACTTTGGAAGCTTCTCCAAGAATGCAGGGATCGCGCGACGGTAGATATTGTTCCCTCCCCCTTCTCGCTGTGGTTTGAGCACGTATCGAGATGCTGTGTCCACTTCAGTCGCAAACTTCTGCGCTTCGTTGCCAGCATCGCTGGTATCGAGTGGATAGATTGGGGCAAATGTTCGTAGAACACTGGAAGCGAGCTTCTCGTCCCGTAGGAAACGGCTCAGATGCGGCGACCCAGGGGTGGCTAGCACTTGCTGAACCTTCTTACAGCCGGCGAGATGGGTAAGAATGCTGGGACACTTGATGGCAAGGGAACGCTCGAGGTGCAATCTCGATGACCAGGCTTCAGCGTCTGGGTAGTCTGAAGGGTCGTAACCAGCGCGATAGTAGATTGTTGTGACTTCAAAGGAAGTCTTTGGTGTATAAGGGGGCGAGTAGATCAGGGCCCTTGAGTAATCCAAGGTCGTGTGCCTTTGGATCTCAGAGAACGGTAGTCTGAATGTTCGCACTTTGTGTGCGCTGTTGAGCTCATATTCTATGAGTCGTTGGTCGAAGACATTGCGCTCTGAGGATTGAACCACGAATAGAACGCAAAGAGCTCGCTGTGTTTTGGATGTACCATACGCTTGGTGAGCTTTTGCTAAGCCCGTAGCAAGACCCTCTATCGACCGGTTCTCTGGAAGATTCGCAGCATTTATGATTTGGGAGGATGAATGCGGGTACGCCTCTGTCGACAGAAGGTACTTGTGTAGAGACGAGACCTTGGACGATAGGCCGCCAAACGACGAGGCAATGGTGTTAAACTCCACTTGCTTAATCTCCGGTTGTTTATTTGAGCGTGCTGGATCCATATGTACCATGTAATCCGAGCGAAATAAACCTAGAGATAAGTCCTAGAAGCCGTTGTAGAGTTAATAGCTGAGAACCTGTTTGAGGAGGATGTAGTGGCCATACTTGAACGTAGCCATCAGCCTTGACTTTGGCGTGTATTTCCCATAGCTTCGCAACGAAATCGTCGATATCTAGCAATCTAGGAATAGTTTAGCACGCGAGTTCAAGGTCCGCTAGACTAACATTGTAGTAGAAGATGCGGCCCTCAAGCTAGTGGTGGGGAATTCACCCGAAATCTCCATACAATCTCATCAAACAACATTATTCAGACATATTCCAGGAAAATTCTCCCCATTGTAGCTAAAGAACTAGGCTGATGCATAAATTTTGAGCTCGCAAATACGAAGAGTAACGTACTGCTTCACTATTTCTTCCAACCACTCCTCATCTCTAGAGACCGCAGCATATAACTCATTATAAGCAGTCTGGATCTGTAGACCTCGGTCGAAAGCATCCCTCGGAAATGGGCTCGGGAACAGCGTCACCGGTGCAGTCGTTGCCAACACGCCCGATGGGTCTTGTGAGCCGGGAATAAATGATGGTGGAGGCCGCACGGCCAGCCCATGTGCAATGGTCCAGTCTTTCAATTCGGCCAAGAGGAAGGTTTCTTGTTCACGATTCAAGCTCGGTGGGTATTCAGGATATATGGTTGGGGACGCCATTCCCGGCCACTCGTTTGTTCTGTTGCAGTGGACTTAAATAGCGCTCAAAATCAAACTAGGCCTCGAGATCATAGTCAAACTGAAGTTCACAAAAGCCACGACAGCCCTGGGCAGAAACATATAGTCGATGTATTGGTGGAACAGTGAGGCTACGATATGGCGATCAGTGAGGCCGCGATGGTGCAATTGGGCGTCCCGTAGCGATTCCTAATCGCCGGAGCCGGCGAATTGCGTTTCCGGTTTACACGCTTGGCTAGTCGTGCAACCCCGCGAACGCGCCACACACGACGCAGAGCTCCGTTGGCGCCGTTAGCTATCACTTTTTGTCCATCGTGCTGCGCTTCAGCCTGGGTCACTCCCACTTGCCTAATCTGCTGGCGGGTCAGCCACCATTGCCTGGTTGTCGAGCCACGATGCGTCACTAAGGCTTGACACTGTCGCCAAACGGTCGCCAGTTCATGTTCGGCCTCGCAGTATGAGCCCGAGGACTTCATGTCACGCTTGTGATGCTATCCTGCGAGCCAATTCACCCCAATTGCTCTTCCCGATGCAAGATAATGCTCCTGTTGGGGGGAAGGTCACGTGCAACCTTCCGCTTCTGCGACAGTACCTGCTACCTACTGGGCCCTCTGCTGCCGCTTCGCTCAACTTGCCAGTTATCTTTTCCCTTGGAGGCCCTGCCTTGCCTCCACAATTCAGTCCTGCCTCCCTTCCTTTGTAGCGTGCGAGTCTGGGCTAAAGTGAAGTTCCACGAAACGGCCTGGCGCGTATATAAACAGCTGTTTCCGCCGCTCTTTTCTACAAGCGTGTCCTTACCACGAAATTCCCCGGTGGAAGCGTTATATTTCGAGTCATACCATTCTTTCTGCTCGACAACGTCTTCCCCTTTGCTTCATTCGGTCTCATCATTCTTCCTCTCCGGCAACTGCAATCTTTGCATTCTATCCTTCCCGTGTGAACTGCCAAAATCACGTGCCAGCACAGTGGCGTCATAAATTCGCTTCCGGGACGTTGCCAGCATGGCTGGCCCAGTGGATCCGTGGGACTGGACCGTGGATGACCTGGTGGCGAATCTATGCAAGTCACGGCGACTGTGGCAAGGCCGACCGAGTAGCATATTACCCGATCCCATTGCCCTCGAGCATTCGCTTCGTGAAAATTCTATGGACGGGGCTACCATGCTGTCCTACGTTGACGATTCCATAATCAGGGAAGTTCTGGGTGTCCGCCCGTTTGCGATGCGCGGTGCTGTACGCTATGCTATCGAAAAGCTTCGTAGTGCCTCTCATAAGTACGCCGAGTATACCGAGAACCAGCGCTCGGCGAACGCGCAAGACGGATATTTGAGTTCCCACTCGGCTACGACCCACCCGGATCCTCACCCCAATGATCCTGCCTCTTCAGTTCCGCACGTTCGCCCCGGGGAAGCATTGCTTGAAGATGCCGGTGGAAAGAAGCGCCGCAGGCTTGCTTTGACGAATTCAAATGCACCCGAACAGAGCTCAACCCAATCTCTTCCCTGCGAGCCTCCCCCGACTGCGTCATCAGATCTAGTTAGCGTTGAGGCGTCAAACTGTACTGGGCCTCCAGTTGCCGTTGTTGGGCCATCTAGCGGTGACTTTTCAGCGGAACAGCTACGCCCGGATAATTTGTTCTTCGGAGACACTAAGTTAGGAGAGCGACTGGATACAAGTGAGGATCTAGACCTTGACTTCTCATTTGTTAGCAATATTCGACCGAACTTCCGGAAGCATGTTTATAAGCAGGTAGCACGCTTTCTCATTCACCCAGAGCGGATCAATACGCAGCGAGACGGAAAGTCTGCTGTCGCTATTTTCCCTTACCCCGCTAGCTCAGTCCGGTCGCTAGATGCCTCAAACCGTTCGGCGTTGCTTTTCTACAGGGAAAACAATACTCCTTGCGTTATTCGGGAACAGGAAGATTTGGTTCATAGTGGAGTGACACTCCGTGGAAACGAACGCGCAGCTCTGGGGGACGGCTGTAGCCTCACTCATTGGTTGCAGGAAGACAACAAGTCCTTGCCACCGCTGGATGATGATTCAGACACTGAAAGCTTTAGTGCTTCTGTATGGGAGGAAATTCAGCGCGACATTGAGGAGGATGAGGAAGTTAAAACTCAAGTGGAAAGAGAAACCTTGACTAGCGACGAGGTTGAAGATATTATCGATCGGAAAATTGAGGAGTTAGTTGAGGCGTGGAAGAGAAAGAAACTTCCACTGCGTGAGAAAGGTGCGTGGTCTCTATGGAAGAGAAGCCGGCACCCGCAATCTCGCAGCAAGCTCCAGAAATATTTCGCGCAGGAGGTTGAGAGGCTTAACGAACGACTGGCGCGTCTCCGGAAAGGTATTCTGGATGAGCTATGGCGCAAAGCCACAGACCTTGAGAGACAGGGTGAAATCTTTGAGGAAACCATTTACCAGCGTGAGGACTGTGTGTGGAGGCTATCAGTTTTAGCGCAAAAGACTGCACCGCAGCGACGAAATCGACCTTTGAAAACGATCACCAGTCGACGACA